CGTTTCCTATAGTTATGATTCCTATAAAAATTGTGGCAGTATCCGTAAACAACGGTAAAAATAACTCCTATAATACGTAAAACGTCATCGGGCAGCCGAACTACTTTCCCGCCGTCCGTAGCGTGGCGCTACGGCGTTTAGGCGGATAAATTGAGTTTAGTATCATCTGTTCATATAATTATATATAAATTAGGTACTGTACATATAATTATATATTAATTATATATAAATTAGGTACTGTATATATAATTATATATTAACTTAATTTATTGTAACTTTATTATAATTAAATATATATTTTTCGCCGTCTAGCGTCACGCTACGGCGAGTTAGGCGACCTATCGTCTGTCCAGTACTGTAATTTTATACATTTCTTGTGAAAGAAACATTTCTTATTTAACGGCCATAAAAATTATTTATATTAATGATGTCTCCAAAGGTCAACGAAGTTTTCGCAGAAAAATAATATCAGAAATCATGGCTGCCGTTTGATGCGCTGTTCCGCGACGAAAACAAGCTTTAGCAACGGGCGTAGACGAACGGTGCACACTCAGTAAGTAATCCTACAATTTTTTGTTTATAACATAGTTTATACAGATTATTTCCAAAAAATATACGTATTTTGGAAATGTTGAGTCGAATTAGTCTAGAATCGATTAATTTTATGGAAGAAAACCTTTCAAACAGCCATAGTCCGTAAACTGTGATTCCTACAAAATTGATTCATAAAGAACGGAACATATCTACCGTCTTATAGGGGATCTACTATATACTATATTAATAATACTATTCTACCCTTCTACCTCTATACTGAATTTATTTAGTACAATGAAGATAAAGTTTTACAAACAACATAATTTTCATTCTTGTACCTTTTTTTTCAGGATGGGAATGGATTAATTGAATATCAGTTATTTATTATAAAAGTGTTTCTATATTCGTCATATTCCATATTCGTTAGGTCATTAAGAACAGATTAATGACGAATATAGGGGTTCCACTGTATTTCTATATAATGATTAATTAATTAATATAATTTCACACTAGAAGAATTAAGAGCCATTGTGCATTAAATTTAATAACTCAAACTTAATAATTAATTAATTTAGAGAAATCTAGAAGAGATCTAGTCTGATGAAAAACTCAAAATTGCAATTAATGCAAGCTAGTCATATGACATTACTGATTATTTAAGCATTTAATCTTCCCAAGCAGAATGTTTGTCAATTTTATCAACACATGATTCATTTTGCTTTTATTCTTCAAAATTTTCTTATTTTCTTAACACCTCCTTCCATTATATAAGGAAGAAATGCAAGTGTCAATCTACCAATATTTAATGCAGAGTATATGTAAAAACAGAGCATGTGAAAGCTTAGTTTGCAGAAATAAAGAAATTCTAAAATGATAATACTGAACATAAGTGTGGTATTTTTTAATTGATGTTTATGAGAAGCACATAATCCTTTATGCTGTCCACTTTACAGAGGTTTTCAAAAATAGGAAATGTAAGAAATAATTATCTGTTACCTGCAGAAAAGCAGAATCTGCTGAATCAAGGTAAAAATGTATTAGTAGTCCTATTACTAAGCCAGAACTAGACATTTTGTCCACTAAATATATAACTAGCATTACAACATTGTAAAGTATAGAAGTGTAATTAATAATAATTTATTACAGTAAAACCTGTGTAAACCAAACTTGTACGGTACCAAATATTTTTTCCAGTTTGACAGGCTTCCATTTTGAACAGATTTTTTTTAAACATAGAAAACTGCTATATTCCAAAGAACTTTTTCCTGTTTAGGCAGGTTTCCATTTTATTCAGGTTCTATTTTGGACAGGTTTTACTGTATTGATATAATAAATTCAAATAAAAATAAATAATGCATATTTATGCATTATTTATTTTAATAATAATGCATATTTATGCATGATTTTCAAAGAATTCATAATGTGAAATGTAGATCTTAATGTATTATTATATATTAGATTATGTAAGATTTTTATGCTAGTTACAGGTTATTAAAGAAATTAACAATTTATAAAATATAACTATTATAAAATTTATAATAAGAATTTTTTCAGCAAAATCAGTAAAAATACATATTTCAGTGTATATTTTTGCCAATCTCAAAAATAAATTAGGGTGCGACTATGCAGACGCAAGTGAGCGAATTTTCCGAGCGAGCAAGAATATGTGGCGAGAAGAGGCAAGACGCGATAAATATCAAAACCTGTCAGATATGTGCGAGAACCAGAAATTTGCTCTCGCCAGCATTATTTCTTGCTTCTCATTTATGCATGGTTTTCCTTTGCTAAAACTAAATCGCTCGCGACCTCTCGCTCGTTCTAAATTCGCGTCTGCATAGTCGCACCCTTAGTATACACAGCATATTATAAAATTAAATTTTAATTTTTAAACAAATCTTTTTCCCATTTCAGCATTAGTGTAATTAATATCATTTATCTCACAATAAATAATACTAAATTAAATTAATTCCTTAATGAAATTTAAATTTATATTTTGCTAAATATGAAATATCTTATTACTGAAGCTAAATATCATACTAAGATAAATAAATATATTTAACATATGCATAATTAAATTGTAATTATTTCACCTTCTTCTTCTATCCTGAATCCAAATTCATCAAAACGAAAATCTGGATATGATGCTGCATCTTCTGGCTGTTGTATAATTTATAAATTTAAAATTCAATTTTAATCAAACTTTTTAAGAGAAAACTTTACATTATTTACCTGGGCAAATGATGCTAATAAATCTTGAGGCCACATTGACGGAGTGAGAGCTGAAAATGGACCACCAGGTGCAGGAGAATATCCCTGACCAGAAGGGGAACCAAATAAATTAGCTCGAATGCTGATAGATTCACCAACATCATGTGGATAAGATTCATCATCATCAGACAATGTTTCCACTGAAAAGCATTATTTTTTTTATTGATTCAAAACTGTAAATTAGTCAATAAATCTACATCTGCATTTTTTTTAAAGATTATTAACTTGCTTCAAAATTATTAAGACAAAAGAAAATGTAATTATTTTAAATTACAGTTTCTTCTGTCTTATTACTAATTATTCTTTTTTAAATTTTTTGTATTATTTACAGTTACTTAATCTACTGTATATAGGCATAGAATTCTGTTTATAAAAAGCTACTGTAAATTATAACCATGTATCACAAAACAAAATTTAAAGTTGTATAATAGTAATATATAGAAATATATTAAAAATATGATAATAAGATCATTTTGTTAACATCTGACTATTAAAAAGAAAAACTTTTCATGTTTCATGTTCATGAAAACTGAGAGAAAAATGATTGTGTATAAAAGGGATAAACTTTTTACATGAAACAAAATTATTCTCTCAAAATCTCATAGAAATTACAGTGTACTCTCACTAACCTGAATTTAATTACTGTAGTGTGTTTAGATTAGTGGTGTTATACATAAAGAAAGGAAAAAGACTACAGATAAATATGAGTATTTAAAAAAAATTATATTAGTACATTTAATTATGTTAAAATGTTTAATGTATATTAATATTACAAATTTGTCATGTTTTAAAANCTAACTATCAACAATTTTTTGTAACAAAAACTGAACTGTAGGTTAGTTATTATCTTTCATTCATTACATATAATGATTTAATTAATGAATATATTTTCTATCAAAATAAGTGGCGAGTTTTAATATGTATTAAAAAGAATTCAATCTGAATTCTAATATTCTCTTATAATACTGTTACTTTTAATATTTATGAAATATAGTATTTTGAGAGAATAAAGTTAAATATAATAATAAAATGCTGTAATGCTATTATTTATAGCAGAACCAAAGATTAGAAGAAACTCTTAGGAGTAGAGATGTTTTCCACTTAATGCAAGTGTCTCTTATAAAAATTGTCTTATATTTTAAACCCAGTGATTTATTTAAATAGTCAATACATAGTTTTGTTTTTTAAAAAATGTCTGTTAACTAAAGAATTTCTAAATAGCCAAAGAATTGTCAAAATAATAGATATACAGTAGAACAGTGGAACCTCTATATTTGTAATATTCAATATTCATCACATTTTGATGACTTTTTATATTTTTCCATATTTGTCAGTATTTTCTGTATTCGTCACCATTCCCAACACCGGAAGTGGCACTACAATCTCACGCCTGCTCCAATCAGCTAGCCATGTTTAGCTAGCTGTAGTTAATCAGTCTGCTTTGTGTGGTCATCATGTGTGTTGTTGAGTTATTGAAAAATAATCAATACGAGAAACCAAATTCCAATCGCTCCAAAGTGGCACCCAAATGTTGCTATAGTCAACCAAAATACAAATGCATTCAATGGTAATGTAATTGCCTACTTCAGAAAAGTTTTAAAAAACAGACAAAAACACACAACACCGAACAAGTTCTTTATTAAATCAAGTGCTACTGAATCATTGGCAAAACAGACCCCATAATCATAATTGAAATTGCCTAATGTTTTAATTGATATGTTTTCTTCTAAATAATAATACTATATTATTAATACAGTAGATCCCCCTATAAAACTGTTTCCTATAGCAGGGATGCACAACCTTTTGTGAAGAAGGGCCAAATTAGGATTAAGTTTGCTGACTGGGAGCCGGACCTCCAAGCGATTAATGTGATGGCTGAGATTAGATGCTGGCGGCAATCTTCTTGATGTCTGGTGTAATGGCAGATGTTGAAACAACCAGCAGATTTTCCAAATTCTCGTTGGTTAACCTGTTCCGTATTTTGCACTTGTTTAAATTCATAAGCAAAAACACTTGTTCGCATACATAGGTACTGCCAAACATGCTTGCACAAAATCGAGCATTGTCTTTCAGTTTTGGAAATGATGTATCTGACAGTTCTTTGTATCTATAGAATGTGACGAGATTAGAATTTTTGAACTGTGATTTCAATTCATCACTGCACTGGATGTCTATCAACTCAAGTTGGGTATCTGGAGGGGCATCTTCCACTTTCACATCAAATGGAGTTGAAAAAAGTTGCAGGTAGATCTTGTATTTCTGGAATTCACCAAACCTCTCATTGAATGATGTAAGGAGGGTGTTAACTTGGTCAGAGTAATCC